AATTTTACACACTTCAATTACTTTCTTTGTATCAAATATAACAATTACATGATACACACTAACTATTGTTACAATTTGTAATAAAATGTGAAGAAAATTAATAATTTCGAGTAAAGTCATTTGAATTTTTTTTATTTTTACTGTGAAATTCATGTGTTTTATTTTAAATGCACTATTTTAATTACTTTCTTTGAAATACGGTGATTATGCTACTAGAAAAGTGAAACTAAAATTGCATTGGTTTCATTGTTTGCAATAAATTATCTTTTCTTTATAAATCCTAACTTCTGATTTAAAACTATTTCAATTTTACAATTTTTTCGAAAAAGTCGAGAAAAGCTTCAAAAATCAAGCGTTAAAATGACTTTGACACTCTCCATAGCATCAATACGTAATATTGCGTTATATTCATCACTTGTTGCAACACCCCATATGTATAATTATCGGCCATCATGTTGCGACCAACGTGTTTTTGTCCCTTTATTTTTCAATTAACTAACCCCCAACAACAAGCAAGGGCAAAACAACTGTTAACAGTCCCCCTGCCGACCCTCGCAAAAAACCCACTGGTCAGAACTGCAACAACTGTTGTTGTACTTTCATTTCGTGTCATCCGAGTTCCGGGAGCCATTAACGGGGGGAAAAAAAACTTTGGCCAGCAAAACCGTGAAAGACAAGAAAGGACTGAAAAAAAATAGTGCAAAAGCCCAAAGGAACTTTGGAAAGAAGCAAAAAAAAAAAATCTCCACACCCAGTTTCTCACGTGGCAATAATTTTAACGGCCCGCTCTCGGCTGATTGAAGGCATAAATCCACCCCCAGCAGCAGCAGTTGTCTCCGCATCTGCGCCCCGTACACCAAGTATAATTCACCCAAGACCCCGAGTCTTGCAATTTTCTCGCGGCGAGCTTTTTCCTCCCTCCCTCCCCCCACGAGGAGCAATTTTCATCTAACCTCCGAAAAACAGCACTGTAAGGCATTACTGAATAAAAAAAAGGGGTGGAAATAGAGAGAAACGTACTCTTGGCGCGTCTTTATTTACAACCTCGTGCGAGAGAGAGAGAGAGAGACCCACTCCGGGGACGCGTAAAACGTGGTGTATGTGTGTGTCTCCACGTGGCGGGGGATTGAAAACCGCAAGAAACTCGCCTCGAAGTTTACGGCCTGTGCTGCTGTGACTTCTCGCGTGTGCCCTGAGAGAGAGAGAAACTCCCCTGCGGAAGCATAAGCAGGGTATTAGAGGACACCGCGATGGGCATCTCTTTCTCGTTCTCTGCAGGGGAGGGATGAAAAATGGACAAGGGGTGGTTGCTGTTGTATTATGGGTGTGGTATCGAGAGAGGCGCTGCTTGGAAATTGATCGCGCCGAGGTGTGCGGACCGGCACACGGGCGTTGTCGTGAATTATACGTACGTCCGAGAGCTGGGCTTTTGTTGTTGTCAGATTGTACCATTGGTTTACTTTGGCGAAATTTGGGAGTCTGGATTATATACGTAGTGCCGATGTTTGCCTCGAGTTTGCCATTATCTCGGGAAAAAGGATAGCGTTTGAGCTTGCGTTTACCGATGATCACTTGAGCTTTTTAGAGGTTTTACAGGTAGCATATACTATATACTTAATTGTAATCGATTTAAGCAACTAAACTCGAGCAAGAGCAGTTTTTTCTTTATCAACATAGATATTGATGTATTAGTTTTATTGATAAAAGAGCTCGTAATTTTGAAAAAATACAAACATTGTAGAGATCCAAATCCCTCTCATTGCTATAGTCCACGTGATAATTTTTTAATTTAGATTCTGCAACAATACCGAAAGGTTAGACAAGTAGAAACACGTGTCGTTGTCCTAATGGGAGACGTCAGATTCGAATCCCTATCTCTGTCTACTCATCTAGCTTGACGAGCATATTTCAGAAGGACTACGAAATTCCGTAAATGACGATAAATGAAGTTAAAAATATATATTGAGCATTTAGTAAACTTAAAGACATTTTATTTTTTCTTTTAATTTTATTAGAAAAGCCATTCGGAATGATAAAAGTAGAAAACTTTGAAGAAACAAAGCCGATAGAGAGGGGGAGCGACTCGTGTCCGCGTTATACGAAATATATAAATTTTGGACCATCTCCAGCACAAAGCTACCGAGGCCCAAAGGAAAGCCTGGGAACATAGGCTGAGAGGAGCAAAAGGACTGGCTGTAGGGGCGCAAGCCCGGCCAATGGGTCTCTCGCGAGATCGCTCCATTACGGGGTGGCTGCTGTAGGGTGTATCACTTATTTTTCCTAGAGGATTATTTCGGTCGCTCGTTTTACGGCTCACGCATGCTTCGTTCGCGGAAATTTTTCGCTGCCCAACCAAACGGCCCTTGGGAAAATGGGTTTGAGGAAGAGAAAAATGCGCGAGGAGTTTTTTACTCTTTTACTTTCCTTCCTGCTCCCCTGGCGTCTAGAGCTTGTGTGGGATGGTAAAAAGTGTGCTCGATAGGATTTTTGGCTGCGAGGACGATGGATATGTATTGAAGAAAAAAACTTTTTTTCATTGCAGATGAGTGACTGGTTACATAGACATGGGTATTTGTTCTTTGTGGAATACTTATTTATAGAGCAGATGGAGTTTTAATTTGAGTGGATGTTTTTGATGATATCAATAAAGTTTTTGTCGGTAGAACTTATGGAAAAATATGATTGAATTTGATGATTGAAACGTGATGATAGAATTATTCGAGTTGTTCGACTAAATTTTAATAGTTATTAAATTAAAACTGGTATTAAATTTTTTTATTATTTCGAAAATGTTTAGTTTTAATAATTTAATTTTCATCAAAGTAATGTCAAAACCTGTAATTCATTTGTCAGTTAAAATACTTAAACTGAGCTCATTGCAAAGATTAAATCATATTACGATTTCACTGTTCCAGCCGGTGAATTTTCAGTGTTAAAAAAAAATTTAACGTATGACCGTCGTTCTTTCTTTGGTTTGAAATATTGCCGGATACACGTGTTTTATACTCCACATTAAGCATGTGCTACAGTTGATATACGGATTTCGTAGTTAATCCGAGACCGTATGTGGATCAGTTCCTTGGAGAAAACGTATTAAATGAATAAATCATACGCTTACCTCCTTTTGCGGAATAAAACATTTTTTAATCCTGATAAACGACAGATAATTGAAGATAACTAATTTTAAAAACTTTGAAAGGGCATAGAATTATGGCATAGTGACTATTTTTCTGTCGGATTACGTCGCTTTCAGCACTTGAGTGAGATCATGATTTTTTTTTTTAATTTTACACAAAATCAAATACCATCCAACGACCCTAGATAAAACTGGGTCATGATAAATTTTAATAAAGATTATTGCGAAATTTTAATTCCATTCGATATTGACTAAAAACTGTATTTTTTTACTTTTATTTGTTGACTCAAGCATCAATTTTCTTATCGAACACGATAAAAAAAAAAATATATTTCGAGACAATGGAGTTCGACTCTTTTAAAGAATGAAATTGCGTAAACGTAATTTGTCATACACCGAATTTTACATTTCATAAAACAGAATTAAATTCTTTATTAAATGTACTTTGCGATCGTTAAATAAAAACAAAAAAAGTGTTGTACAAATGGCAGCAAAAAATATATTTCCAGTGCAATGATGATTATAAGCAATGTACTATATATATCCAATGCAATTTGGATGTTGATTTACATAGACCAGCTGACTCGAATATTCAATAAATGTGACGGCAGAGAAATGCGGTGGATGCGCCGAGGGGGAGAAAAATTCATATTCATGGTTGCGTTCCTCGCGGCATCAGACGTTTTGAATGGTATAAATAAATACAGTTAAGGTGGCATTTTTTTCTCTTTTATTCAGTTTCATAAAATATACATTTCAATGTTGATATAACTTTTCCACTTTTAGAGTTATAATTCAGAGAGTGATAAAATTAAATTCAGATTTTTCAATTCACTCCCGACGTATAAAACAGCGGCTGTACCTACATGTTTTATACGAGTGAAATGAAGACTGGACATAAAAAGTATAAAATAAATGTCGTAAGTAAATGAAATAAATCATACAAATACGTAAATTAAATTAAATTTTAAAAAATGACAGTTAACGAAAAAATACAATAAACAAAACAAATTATTTAAACTGTGAAAAAAAATTTTTTTAAATTAGTAAGTAAAAAATTAAATAGCCTCACAATTCCCTAAAGTACTAAGAAACTAATAAATAAAACAACAATTGAGTAAATTCATTAACAAATAAATAAATAATTTAGTAAATATATTAGTCAAAAATGTGTAAATGACGAAACAAATTGAGTATTAACGTTGTTCATTGAATATAAAATATACATTCCAGTAGCATATCAAAATCCAAACGGCCTTTTGTAAACGTCAAAAGACTCGATTTGAGAAAACCGCCTCTTATTACTTGCAAAAGCATTAATGCAGTCTCTCCACTTCCTTCTGCTTCATACCTCCCTCGATTAAGCATGAAAAAGGAAGATCTTCCGATACATAATCTATTAACCAATCTCCGCACAATAAAACTACGCAACAGCTCAGTAGTAACTTTCTCACGGAATATAGAAAAATAGCTTCCGTCCCATCTGAGGAAAAAATTAACGGCTAAAAGCGATTTACTTGTTGTCTTCCTTTTTTCTCGCGTATATACACCTGCATCGGTGATCAAGATGGAGTAACGAGTGTTTAGGGAGGATTTCTTTTCTTCCGCGAAGGGAAAATAATCTAATCCCATGGGCAAGGGAACAAGTCTCGCGCTGCACTCGTGCGTCAAATGAACAAAGTGAAAAAAAAAATAAATAAAAAAAATAATGGACCCCATGGTTACACGCCCACACGGGGGAATTCAAATTTTTAGTGACACTGGCGTGTCTCTTACCCTGTTTATGGGTGTCGCCAAAGGAAAAAGTGTAGAGGGAGGTAGTGGAGGAGAAAAAAAACAGAGTATATGTTGTATCCACACTCACCAGGAAGTATCGCAGGCGTGGGTGAGTGTGAGGTAACGGGCGCCGAGGCCGTAAAATGTCCTGAGCACTCCGAGCGAGTTCCCGAGGGAGTGGCCGCCCTCGACCCCAATCAGGCTTGCGATTTTTCCATCGCGGTGAGCCTCGATGAGACCTGTAAAGAAGAAGAAAAAGGTGTGACGTGTTACACATCATTATGTGACTTGAGATTTTCGGTCGGCTGTGTAGTGTCTTTGATGGATTATTTATGTAACATTTTGTTTCCTTTCCATTTCTGTTGCTTGGGAAAAAAAGAGAAGTTTGGCGTTACAGCAAAGATTTCATCTGTGAATTTTTTTTCTTTTTCTTTTTATTTGTATGAGGAATTTGTTATTTTGGTTATGTCGCAGTACCCAAAATTTCTCTTTTTATCTAGTATTTTAGACTGTTTCATTTTTCGCTCGAGAAATTTTAATAAAGTTCGACGCGTGAAGTGCATTATTTTGCTTTTAAGTTATTAGCGAGGATTATTAAAAAAGCAAAAAAAAAAAAAAAAAAAAATTATATGCAGATTATCACGTCGGTGAAGCAAAATTATTAAACATGAAATAATAAAACAGCGAAAAATATCGATGATGGGGGCACGGTATAAATCAAAATACAATTTTTCACATCAAGCCCTGGAAAAGCCTTACTTCCCGATTTAAATTCAATTATTAAAGCGTTTCGCTCACGCAACACTGTCATTTCCCCATAAACCTCGTAAAAACACCGCTTCCAGTAAAAATAGCAATTTACATTTTAATGTACATTAAAATCTTTTTTTTTTTTTTTTTTTTGAGAAGGGGGGCTCAAAAAAAATGCTGTATAAAAAAGCTCCTCTCGCGAGTTAATATCCTCCATCCGACTACCACCACCACTTCAACCACTACCGCTGCCACGAGCGGTATGAGCGATGAGGACGAGATGAAGGCTGCGAGAAAGCGAATCAGGAAATTTGACTCTCAAGTTTTCCGGGCAAACTCGGGATGCATACACGCGCCTTGGTCTGACTATACGCGTACTCATACTACTGCAACTGTTACGGGAATCGCTCTTCTTCACCGCTCTTGGATAATTTTTCCCTCTAACTTCAAACCATCTTCCATCAGGCATCCATTACTTTTATTTCACCCGTATTATCCACACGCACACTATTCATCTCAAAAGTTGCACGAGGTAATACAATACATCGGCGCAGCTCGGCGAAATCGAATATTCTGAAAATCAGCTGCGGATGATGCATTAGCTCCCGCTTCCCTTTGGATCGATTTTTCCTTGCACCGTACACTTTATGCGCGTATAAAAGAGTAAAAAAAAAAAAATATTTCAAAAGTTTCGGCTTATGAAAAAAAAAAAAAAAAAAAAAAAAAAAACGAAAACAGCGTTGGTTTGTCGAGTTCAAAAAAGGATGTACGTGTGAGAGAAAGGATGAAAAAAAAGTGTTGCGTCCATGGGAGGTAAAAAATAAAAGTGCACGGGCGCGCGTGAAAAATTCCACGCCAAAGGCGTGCCCGTTGGTGCGAAAATTTTCATGCCGTATAAGCACAATTACGAAGGCATAGCTACAACCATGCCCGGGGCTGCGTGTCTCGTTCGTCATTAATTTACTTGTTAATGAACGTGACTTTGGGCTGGCAAGCAATTTTAAGGGCGTTATTGGCGTTATTTGGCGTGGACGGCTTTTTTCGGATGGTACATACTCATAAAACGGTCTGTTACGGTGTCTCGCTCGGCAGAAATGTACGCTGGTATGGGAAAATAATGGAAAACAGGGGGACGTCAGTGGACAGAGGATTGGTGCATGCTGCTCGTTTTGGATCGTGATATGTCGAGGTTGTGGATGTGCGTGTCAGACAAAAAATTTTTTTTTTTTCATTTAAATTGTGAAATTTATGGTCAAAGCGAACGAGTGTTTTGATTAGTATGCAAATATGTTTTGCCTCGTTTGTATGCGGGTTGAGCTGGTGAGAAAATATAATTGTTATATAAATTGAATAATTGAAGGATCGTCGGTGTTTGATGTCGTACGTACTGATTTAAAAAGTCCAAATGAAAGAGAAAGGAAAATCTATGCGTTTGTAGTTTTTTTTTCAAGATAATCACCGGTACTTCACTTTTATATTTTTCTATAAAATTTAGTTATGTTTACAGAATAAAAAAAATTACACATACAGTCTTTAAGAAAGTTATTACATTTCCATAGTTGTTTTCACAGTCCAGCAACTAATTTCTGTTGCTCGATTTAATAATTAATCTATCGTGAAAGGTGTTAATAATTTGTACTATCCCAATATTACGTATAAAAAAATATGCTACTTCAATCCACGTTACAAAGTATAAAATAAGATTCGTAGTACATACACCCATGAAAACGGTTCGTACAACCGAATAATGACGCAGCGAAACAAGCCGCAGTCAATCCACGTATCTCTCATCCGCAAGCACACATACGTACAAATACACAGAGGAAAGGAGGGAGGGAGGGAGGGGCGTAATCGTCTGTCAGTGGCAACTGCATCCTTCGCAAATGCAGCCCAAATCTCTCGATCTTCTCAAGTCCAACACACATATTATGTACGTGCCTGTATATACACTTTATACCCTCATACTGCACGACTCCTATCAGATTGGAGTTCAATCAGACGAGAACAACATGTTCAGGCGAAGGGGTACTTATTGCTGTTTCGAAGCCCTCGGGGCTCTCTGTCGCTTTTACGGTACATTTCACGTGTCTGCGTTTAGCAAGTCGTGCGCGCACGTATACACACAACTTCTTTTGGGAAATCACAGGCGCACTGACCTGGATTTATTTAATTCACAAGCAGCTTTTGTTCGGCGCATTCGAGTGATTTTTCCCCGTTTTTTCGTTTGGCAGGTCATGCGTGATGGCTTTTTTCCTGTGGGTATTTAATTTATTGTTTTATAGTGAGTTTGTGCGTTTGAAACGAACAAGGAGATCCACGCGAGAGGGCACTCGCTGCAGTGAAGTTTGGTTCTAATAATAAGTTACTCCACTCGCGACTGTACGTGAGGAAGTACAGACTAAGACCCGAGTTTCGGGCTAACTGGATTTTGCAAACTACCCTCGATGTCGCGTGAAGTATCGGCTCGAGGACTCGCTTTGACGGGTTTCGCGACTTTCCGTGTTTTACATCAAGAGGAACTTGACTTTTCCCGTATAGTTTCTGGCGTTGCACTTTATGTGTGCGTGTTGAATTGCTAAAGTTTAATTTGAAATTGTAATTTGGGTTTTAGTTACGATGGCACGCGGATGTGTTACTTTTGTAGAGTTAAGCGTTGCGTTTCCTATGAATAAAACTTTTTATTGGCTTTAGAGTGTGATACTATTGTATTCGGTGGCATGAGGTATTGTTGATTGATATCAAAAAGTTTTTAGTGACAAAGGCCTTGGAGCTAAAGTTTATAGATGGTTCAAGTAGAACAACCCGAGTTTGCTCAGACTACCCGTGGAATATGGTGGAATAATTTTGTGTACGTTTTGCAATTGAAAAACTAATTTAATTTCCTACAAATTTTTCCTGAATTGTCAATGATGAAAAAATTTTAATGAAACAATATCATTCTGGTCAATTTATACCACCTAATTACGCTATGGTTTATTACTTTCATTAACAAATTAAATTAAATTAATTGGATGTTGATGTATTGGTGATGACAAATATTTTTAATAGATGTTAAAGAATGTAAATCTCATTAAGTTAATATGTAGGTACACCATTCAATTGCTTTATTTGTTCAAAGAAGTAGAACAACTCGAGTTTGGTCAGACATCGGTCAAAGATTCATTTGATTTTTTTTTTACGTTTCACAATGGAAAAGTATCTTTAGGTTTTTAGGATTTTTTTTTCGCTCTGCAAACATGTACAAATATACATGTCTTAGATTTTTTTTATAAAATATGTCAAATTAGTAGAGTGCATCTTCAAGTTACACTGTAATATTTTAGCTGAGTGAGTTTGATGCTAGCGTTTCTAGTGATGAAAAAATTTTTGATTCATGTTAACAATCTTACTATGATAATATCTGAATAAATTGGAGTCCATTGATGCAATTTGTTAAGTTTTTTTGACATTTCAAGTAGAACAGCTCAAGTTTTGTAAGACAGACGTTAAATTTTGAAAAACTTTTTTTTTGTGTAAATGTCCTTTAAGATAAATACTCTAGTTACTTTGAAAGTATGTTCGATTTAATTCATTTACACAGCTTAGATACAAATTATAGAGACCTGGGAGAGCAAAGTTGATGGGTGTATCGTACGTTTTATGTGGTTTCACAAGTAGAATAACATGATTTTAGTCAGACACTCACAAAACTTTTCTTATGTCTCTTTTATAACTGGAAAGAAAGTTGTAGTTCTTACAGTTTGTTTTATTGTGTAAATAATAATAAACATCCAAATGATAAACTTTAAGAATCATGTCATTTTAGTCAATTTGTACGACTTAATCACATGGTAATTTCTTGAGCCATCACATTTTGTGCTGTTTTAAGTATAGTGACTGTAAATCATGGATTAAGGTCAACAATCTATAATTAGATAGGTTTGACAGATTCGCGTTCATGGGTCATTTGCGTCTGTATGATCTATTCAGTAATCCAAGTAGTACAACTCTGCTTTGGTCAGACGTTTTGTAAAAAGTCTATGTAAAGAGTGAGTCTTTGTTGTGATTTTTTTTTTTAAACAGATAGATCTTGAGATACTTCATTGAGAAAATTTGATAATTTTGTGTTTGATGACTAGGTATATTGCTGATCATTGTCCTATAACTTATCATGACAATAGCTTGAAAAAAAGAGAGTTCACAAGACCAATTGGTGTATTTCGTGCTATAATACAAGTAGAATAATTCGAGTTTGGTCAGACATTCCTGAGAGAGATCATCATCCCATTTTCTTTTTATCTGTTTTACAATTGCTAAGCGTATTCCAGTAATTACGTATATATATTTTTTCTATTATAAATGCTCACGAAGATTTATTCTACGATTATTAATAAATAACAAGTAAAAAAATTCAGCTACACCTTCCAACAACAATAGAAAGATGTAAAAATCAGACGCACGTGCGTCTCCTTGCTCGGCCTTTTCCAACATCTCGTCCTTCCATACACACATATCTCCATTCTTTATTATTCGGCACAAGGTAACAACAGCTCAGCCCAGCAGCACAAATTCCACGCGAATCTCAAGTTCTTTTTGTAAATTCAGCGGAGCTCGCGCAAAGCCACCAATAACTGTGCCGGAATCCACTGGCTGCTCGACGCGCTCGGGTAGAAAAACCGTGCAAAGAGCAGGGGTGCGCTGAAGGAAGCCAAAGGCGAGAAAATGCAACAGCGCTCCGCGTAGGTAGTGCAGCACAGAGCGAGACTACCTCGTATATATATATATATATACTTATGGACCAAATTCACGGCACGCAGTCTGCGAAAAATTGCTCCCCCGCCCTTCTGGCCCCGTTGGCTGGCAAAGGAATCAGTCAAGTTTCTTTTTTCCGGAAGCTGAATCGAACCGCGACCCTCTTTCTTCTCGAGAGCAACGCGTGGCACGCCCCCCCCCCCACTATTTCGAAGAAAGAGGGATTGCCAAAGAGCAGCTGTTGTGTTTCCCGCGAAACTCCCATTATTATCGCGTTCCCTTTCCTTTTTGCTTTTCTGCACGTGTTTTCTCCCTTTACCATTCTTAGGAGGTATTTTCGCCGCTTTCCCTCAATCGGTGTATTTCCGCCGGGTATTGTTTTTTTATAATTATTCGATGCTTTCATCTCGCTTCAGCGATTTTTGTCTACTAAACACCATTTTTTTGCAATCCACATTATTTTTGCCAATTCATCCTGTTGTACTCGACAAAAATCATGACTTTCATTCCTCCCTTCGAGCAATCGATTTCTCATTTCACAGTCTAAGAGAAGCAAAAGCTCTCGGGGGGAGGGGGGATTAAAATAAGCGAGACGACGTTATTGAATCACGCGCTGTTATACCGTCCCCGGGACTCGGGCGTGCATTTGAAGTTTTGTCTCTCTACCAAGCGCTGGCGGTGGTAGCTGCGGTGGCGCCGATACCATGATGGAACGGCTGATATTAAAAGTTGGAGGTATACTGCTTCGATACTGCGAAATAGTTTGATAATTCTCGTTGAATGAACGCTAAGGGTTTTTTCAACTTTTCATTGATTTTAATGATAGATCAATTAGCCTCTTGATTAAAAAAAATATATTTCCTACGATTATTCCCATAAAACACGAGACCCAAGTACTTAAGGATGAGGGATTCACGAAAAAAAAGATCGAGCAACAGTGACGCAAAAATTGTTCAAAGCAAGATAAATGAAGCACGCGCCTCCAATGCAGGAAAACACCGAGCACGAGTCGTAGGTATATATATGCTATACACAAGGACCGGCACTTATTATTCTGTCCCCCTTCTCTTCCCAACGACGACGGCAGCTGCGAGCCTCTCCCCCGGAAAAAGCGAGCGGCCCATAAATTTCGCGCGCTTGAAGAGACGCGCCGCGAAATTAAGCTGCTCCCTTTCCTTCCTCCTCGACGACCTTCCCTCTCTCTCGACTTTCCCCTTCCCCTTCTTAGCCTCTTTTCTGCGACTACACGACTGTGATTAATTCGCCAAGATTGGTCTTGAGAATCGTCTTCCTTTTTCTGTGCTCAGGCTATTATTATGGTCTGCCCGTTTGCGCGTGACGGATGTGCGTACGTGGTGTACTTTGGGGTTGACTGTTATTAACTATTTATCATTCGAGGGACAGGGGACAGATGTACTTTTAGTTATCGAAGATTTCTCAATCGAGCTCTCGTTTACATGTAAACTGCAGTTTTACGAGTCTTTTTTTTTGTTTGCTAACGATCTACACTTTTTTTATATTCATTGCACGTATGGATAAATTTTATGCATGATTTTAGAGGGTGAGGGTTTAAAATAATTTTTACATTTTGTTTTAACAAGTGTACAGGATAATTGATCATTTCTTATTAAAATTTAAGGCCCCAAAATTTGTACGTTTTAGAAAACTGTAATTTAGGCTTGTATCATTTGAATAATTGTACAATTTTCTGGTATAAAAACTTTTAGATGTTGATACTTAATTTTTATGCACGAATCAGAAAACAATTTTTAAATCTTATTTATTACTTCTTATATTTTGTAGTACGTATATTAATAAATTATTGATTCACATAAATTATTACATTTCTTTTTAATACGACGTATGAATTGTAGGGATATTATATCTGTTAAATCATCATTACGAAGCAGAACTCACGGGAAAATTTATACTTCAAAGAGTTTCCAATATAACGAGCAATCAGTAATTATACAGGATGGAATTTTGGTCCCACCAGTTTACGTCAGGTATAACGAGATGAATATTTCCGGTCAATAAAATGTCAATTAAGAACTCCTCAGAATGATATTTTTTAATATAACTGGCTCGAAGAATTCGTTTGATGGAGTATAGTATTAGCACAAATGCCAAATGTGTGATACTGTTAAAGTGTATGCAAATAAAGCTTGCACAGAAAGTACAAAACATTAATGATAATAATAATAATATTTACCTTTCACGGAGGTGACGAGCGTCAGGTGCTGGGAGTTCATTTCGGTGAGCCTGCGTATCACGTCTATTTGCTCCAAGGAGAGTTGAACGGCGTTCAGTTGGGCTGCACCGCACGGCACGTACGCCGACCAGAACTGTAATAAAATAAAAAAATGTTTTTTTTTTTTTTACAACCATCCGTTTAAACACTTACCATAAGTAATAAGTTATTTTTTAATATTACACCATAGGATGTCGGTAAAAATTAACTCTACTCTAATATCAATAAGTAGTGCACAAAAGCACCGCTAAAACTGTATACCACAACGCTACCATAGCAGTATGATATACAATCAGCCACTACCATCTATTTCGTCACCTCAACTCAAAAATGGCCCGTACCCCATTGAGCTAAAACACAACTAGTAAGCTCATAATTGCGCTTAATCACGCCACTCTCTGTCTTTCCTATCCGCAAGCTCACCATTCACGCAGCGGAGCATGAGACATTTGGCGCGCTATGGGCAATTGGAGGCGCGCGAGGTCTCCCTGTGGAGTCGCGAAAACCGCAGTCAGGAGCGATTACGACTACCCCGAGTTACGCCGAGGACGCTGCAACTATATAGAAGGGGTGCACCGGTGGGTGCCGCTAAGTACTATTTTTAAAGTTGAGCTTTCGGGAGGAGGGTACGACCGCAGAACTGCTGCAAGCTCGTCGTTAGTACTTTGGCGGTCAACTTGGCCGCTGTCCCCCGAGAGGGAAGTATGGTATTTAACGCGGAAAGGTGATTAAAGGAGGATCAGAGTATCCCAAGTAAGTTATTTTCCCTGGTTTGAAGAATATATATTTTTGTTTTGCGGGGCAAAAAGCAGGGCGAATTTTCAATTTGATTTTCCCTCGCAAAGCGGAGATGACGGGAAATTTTGCGCGAGGGTCTGCAGAAAATAATCCTCGAGCAATTATGCGGTTGCAATTTGAGCTGCCTCCAATTTCAGCTGTACTCTGACACGCTCTTCGTCAGTTACCGCTGACTCAGCTTTTACAACCTGTCGACTCTCGGTGCGTGCACCCTCTTTATTAAAGTTGCGGCACAATAAATGTCGGGATTCATGCCCATATTACTTTTATCGATGAATCTTATTTTATGAGAAATGGACGTTACAGTGGGGTTTAAATATTATTATTATTATTATTGTTTTTTTTTAACTAACAACATGTTATGAATTGTTATCTATGTATTTGTGATGAATGAGTTGTCACTTACAAGTTAGAAAAGTGTCATAGTGTTCGATATTTTTTGTTTGTTTAAAGCTACTAGAGCGTTTTGGGTTGAAAATTATAACAGTAGTAAGTCACTGAATCGAACGACAAGTTATAATGATAATTAATAAATCCATTACAACAACTACAAATTACAGAAACAATTTGAAAATAAAAAAATTTCTAACAAAATTGACTTTACCAAAACTGTTACGTCCAGGAAACAAAGTCCTTCTCTCACAAGTACCATTAAAAAGCTTAAAAGCTCTGAAAAGTGCAGTCCCCCCCTTTCCTGTACTCGTGTAAAAGCTTTCACAATAGTATGAAATCAACAATTCCGGCAAATTTGCCCACCAAATCCTCTCATCAAATACACATCGTCGATAAACAACGGGCCATCAACAATTAAAAACAACCAGAATCATCCACCGTAATGAAGCTTTCAAACCCCACCCACCACCAACCATTTCGTACGGAACTGAAAATAATCAAGTACTGAGAATCAGCGATTCCTTGCGCAAACATACACGCGCGTACACGTAAAAGCCCAAACACGCCAAATAACCATCAGTTCAAGCGCTATCCGCACTAAAATCTCTTGGTCCAAATGAACAGCTCAAAAATCATTACTTTGAACAAAACCGACCCTCGATTAATTTCCATTTATATCCCCGGCGCTTCAGTACACTTCCACCCTCTCTCGTGTAGACTCGATGCCCGTGTCACTCGCAAACTACCACCAACCATCCAAGCCCATCATATATATATATATACGCAAACTCAACTTTCAACGTCAATCTCACGCTCCTCATTTATATTTCACGGCTCATTTCCCGAGGCATGCTCCAGTCTCTCGATCATATCCGTGGCGCGCTACGTATACAATACGCCCACGGTATTTAATCCCAAATTCGTAAATAACGCGCGATCAATTATTACCACGTGAAAATTATTCGACGACTCGTACATGTTTCGTCCAACCACGGGTACACCCCTCGATAAATCATATCCCACTATCCCGCTATGGGGGAAGAAAAAAAAACCCACTCCCTCGCGATCAAAGCGCACCCTTTGAGCCGGCCAATCGCCTTAAATCAGCTAATTAACTCGTGCAAGGGACTCCACGTGCCTATATACGTATACATACGTGTGCATGAATATTTACCTAACGCCCGCATGTGTGCACGTATACGGTGCTCCGTGCGACTGGGATGGATTTGCATAATATATAGACTCTGTTATGCTTGGGAGTGATGTGCGGCGTTACTTGGGAATCGGAAAGCAATGGCTTTGGCCGCGCGGCTTTGACTGAGATTCAATATTTACTCGTATACCATGGCTGGGGGTAATCAGACGATGGTTGATTTCTAATGCCTCAGCTGCGCCTTGTCCACAGCGAGTGTAATCTTTATCCATCGGGCTCTCGCGAGGAGTTTTATTTAACTTACTCAGGGTGCGGCTTAAAATTAAAATTACACCAGGTGTGCGTTTGTCGGTTCGGTGCATGGCTTTGGGGGTTGAAAAATCGACGCCACGCGTGATTCTCTTCTCCAAATCACGGCTAATATTCAAAAAGCAATCGATTAAGCTGTACTATCGATCACCGGCGCTGCGAACGTTTGTTTGTTTGTTTGTTCCCTCCTCGTTTATCGATGGGTTAGAGTTTGCTCAGAGCTCTCTGTGGCTTTGGTTTAATTGCGTTTCGCTGTACCCTGTTTGCATTGATTAACTGTCTCTTGAGTTAAATGTATACATGCGCATCTCGTAGATACGCGTTCGTGCTTATGATTTTTATTTTGAGGGATTTTTTTTTTATCAATGTTTCATGTACAAACTGCTACGATTTTATTTGCATCGGTGTACGTCAGTTGGTTAGGTCAACGGGATTGAAGAACACTTAAAAGTATCTCGATAGTTCAAGCCCCTCTAACTGACACACGATCATATTTTGTGGTAAGGAGACAAAAAGCATTGTTCACTTGAATATGTAAATAAAGAAATCAATGGTAGCATAGTTCCGTATGATGATTTTTTTTTCCTGAAGGAAATAAAGTTTATTATTCGTTTGTGTACAAGATACGTTAGATCCTACGATGTAACAGAGAGGCACACTTTCGCTTGGTATGAAATTGACTGATTAGTGCATCACAGTAAACTTTACCATTTCCTAGTTATACACTTACAGTTTGTCGAAATAGATAATTTTCACCATCGAATACTTAATAATCGCTATATTAATTGGTTCAAGTTTCACGTGTTTGATGAACTAATTTGTTATGCTGGTGGCACCAAAAGTAATATTCTAGGGCTATGTGACTCTCATCGATGAGATCGAGATGTCTCCCTTGATCACCGATAAACATTTGTCAAGAGAAATTATAGATTTAAGCGCAGGTAAATACCACTTTTTTTTAATATTTAACCAGTGAAATCATGTTTGCTGAGAAAACAGTAAGAATTCTAACTACCTCAAATTCATATAGGTACAAGTATGCGTGCAAAGTAACTTGAGGAGTTTCAATCCCGTGATGAACAATAAATAAATAAATAATTCGATTGGCAAACAAATGTAAAAAGAAGCAAACGAGTAAGTAAAGTAATGACACTAAAAGAAAGAAAAAAAAATTCCTACCAAAAGTAAAGCGACCGATTTATATTTCGAGTAGTTCTTCCTAAACTCAGACATAAAGTGCTCACGCGAACAACTGCACCCTCGTCATCTGCGCTCTATCCTCGATATAATATACTCCCCCGTTCGCACTCTCCATCGGCCAAACTCCCCGAATCGTCAAACCCATCACGGTTCGCGGAAACTGATCTCAAACTCCTCAACTCACGAGTACACCCGAGAACTCGACTCCTCGGGACTCCTTGGATTTCTTTGCTCTTATACATACTTACTCGTCCCTCTACAATAAGTTGGCAGCACCGAGTCATAAATCACATTACGAGCAAGTATACACCAAAGAGGGGGGAGGCCCGATAACTTGTCACGAGCTTCGAATGTGGGACATACGATTTTCGGGTACTCCCTCGAGGAGACAGAGAGAGTCCCCTATGATTGATCGTGTCCGTACTTTTGAGGAGGGAAAAATTAGTCTCGCTTGCGATGGTATAAAAAAATTAAAAAAAAAAAAAAAAAAAACACAGCTCTCTTTTTCCGCGTATTAGTCGGCTAACGCGTCGTATACCCGTAAAAACCCGCGTAACCACCAGAAGCCATTCCGTCAGCTCGTATATTTCACCCCCTCCCCCGCCCTCCCATGAAACGATGCTTACAGGCAGCGATCGTATATTTCAAAAAAATCAAGCACCAATAAAACCGTAAAAGCCCTTTTACACCCTTGCACGGCGAATACGAAATTTCACCCGTACGCGTAGCCCCGAAGATATGCCGACTCGATTTATAATTTTCCGTGTACCCCTCGCAGAGGGAGGGAGGGGGGAAAGTTAAACCCGCGCGAGTTCTCGGGAGCAAACGATCCCCCCGAAAGCGGGCCCTCACATCCATCTCAATGAGCGGGAGGCAGCGCTCCGACAGATCTCGGGATTCCTACTCGTCTGGGAGATGAAGAAGTACAAACTGGGCCATGCATATATATATATATATATATGTACCCTCGGCAGAAAGTCGAGATATATGTGTGTGGGTTACGACGAATGTAAAACACCGCACGCACTATCGTGTTCACGGTTGGCTGGAGTCATACGTCCCGGCAGCGGTGGTGCATATATATATGTACGGGACACCCGAGGGTACACATCGAGTGGTTCAGGCGCGGCCAGCAATGCGGGCACGGCTGCGTGTAATGGTATTATAGTTGGGGGGGTTGGAGAATCGTTCGGTCCTCTCTGGGTCTCACCTATTGAAAATGGAAAATTTAATGGGCCGAG